GATGCCATGGTTACTAATGCCAATTAATCTTAAATTCAACCCCAGTGCTAATATCAAGCTGTGGGATGCCAGGTAACGACAATCTATTCCCCCATGCGCTTTAATATCTCTTTGAAGGCACCGTGTGAGACCATTGCCACCTGCCGAAATGGCATCACTGATGAAAAAGGCCGTTGAAATCAGAGAGAGTTAAGTACAAAAACAGAGACTCAAATTCCACTGATTTCAGGTAAATAGAAATATGGCTAGTACATAGTGCTTTTAGATTTCTATTCATAACAGAATTAGGGAAGCCTGTTTATATCCAATCTCTTATTTAATCATTTTAATTTAAAATGATGGAGTGAGTTTAATACTTCAGTTTGTGGTAAGGTTACAAGCATCATGTTTTGGCATCCCTGACCCCTGCAGTCTGTCCTCTATGACATGTCCGTGGGATTATGAACCAGTTAATATTTCTTTGGACTTGCTATGGCAAGCTCAAACATTCGGTATATTCATAATTTTGCTTTGAAAAAGCCACAGGAGTTATGATTATGTAAGCAAACGCTTCGCTTCATTCTGGATTTGCAGAGGAAGTTGGAGGCATAATAGAGAAATCCATTTCTAAATGCTCATGATATTAACATCTAGTTATATGTGACCAGGGATGACCTTTGGTAACCAGCATGTGACTCCAGAAAGCTCTCTTGTGGTATATCTAGGACCAGAGATTTGGGATATAGTATCCAAATGATTGGATTGATACACACTAAGGGCATACAGTACACAGGGGATGATTCCGGATTCCTGACTGAGTGCCAGTGAAATGAATGGATTATATGCACAGAAGGAAAACATGACAATGGTTGGGAAATGGAGGTATAAACTGAAAAGAAATTCTAGGCATCTTTTCAGGGTGTACACTAAAGTCCGCCTGCTCCCTATTTGACAGAGGCAATCCAGAGGTCTTCCTCAGGGTTGGCTCAACTGCAGAAACATTTGAGCAGAGACATGGGCACAAAAAACCATGAGCACCTGCTATGCTACTTGCCTTAGGAAATATTTAATTAATGAATTAATTACAGTACGTATATTTGCCCTTCTCACCCCGGAGGGGACTCAGGACAGATCACAGGACACACAGAATCATAGAGTTGGAAGAGACCTCATGGGCCATCCAGTCCAACCCCTGCCAAGAAGCAGGAAAATTGCATTCAAAGCACCCCCGACAGATTGCCATCCAGCCTCTGTTTAAAAGCTTCCAAAGTAGGAGCCTCCACCACACCCCGGGTCAGAGAGTTCCACTGCTGAATGGTTCTCACAGTCAGGAAGTTCTTCCTAATGTTCAGATGGAATCTCCTTTCTTGTCGTTTGAAGCCATTGTTCCGCATCCTAGTCTCCAGGGCAGCAGAAAACAAGCTTGCTCCCTCATCCCTGTGACTTCCTCTCATGTATTTATACATGGCTATCATGTCTCCTCTCAGCATATACGGCAAACATTCAATGCCAATTATACAATGACAAGACAGACAACAGATAGAGGTATATTTAGGATTTTTCACATCATTTGGCATCTTTAGGAGGCTGTGCTAGGTTCTGGCCACAGGGGGCTGCTGTTATTCCATCTCCTTGCTGAAGAGATTTCTTTGTTTGTAAACTTTCCTCCGAAACGTCATGCCTAAATTCCCTCTCCGCTTAATGGGATACTTATTCATCTACTCACATTGCTGTTTTCGTTCAGCTATGTGGGCAGGGGAGCTGGGCTGAAGGTCAGGAGCTCACCCAGACCCGGCTTCAAAATGTCAACTTTACGGTAGACAAGATTTATTGCAGCTGCAGCTGGTGATTAACCTGCTGTGCTAAAGCTGGTTCTTATGCAACAATCCAATAGAAGATTGCATCTGTTTTAGAAGTCCCTATTTGGTTTTACCTGGTTTTTAATTATGCAGGTGCAAGTCCATACAGTATGTAGTATTTTAAGGGTGCATCTTGCCATCGATATATTTTAATGATTTATTGTGTATTTTATATCGTTTTTAATAATCTGGTGTTCATGTATTTATCTTTTTGCCTTATATGTGAAAGACCTATGGACTAAGCATCGAATAAACAGAATTACTGCAGCTGCAGTTGGTGATTAACCTGCTGTGCTAAAGCCGGCTCTTATGCAACAACCCATATGGAAGATTGCATCTGTTTTAGGAGTCCCTGAACTAATTGCCTTGTTCTGGTGGCAAAGGTGGGAGTGGATGTCTCTGCTCCAGTACAATTCTTAACCTCAGAAGATACAATTTAGAATCCAGTCAATCCATCTTTTTGAGTTTGGTGGACCTCCTTAGCTACAGTAGTGGGAATATAAGGTGGTCAGGGCAGCTGCAAGGGAGGTTATGGGCGAGATTTGAAGGGGGGTTATCAGCTTTAAAGGTAATTTTAATGGCATTTATTGTATTTTAATTGTATTTTAACTTTATATCCACTCACAAATATTTAATTGTTTTTAATGCTTGTATTTCCCGTATTTAAATTTTTTTACTAGGTTGTGTTATATGATTGTTAGCCACCTTCATTCCCTATGGAGAGAAAGGTGATATAGAAATAGTTAATAGATAACAACAACAACAACAACAACATGCTTTGTTGTTGTTTATTCGTTCAGTCACTTCTGACTCTTTGTGACTTCATGGACCAGCCCACACCAGAACTCCCTGTCGGCTATGGCCATCCCCAGCTCCTTCAGAGTCAAGCCAGTCACTTCAAAGATACCATCCATCCATCCATCTTGACCTTGGTTGATCCCTCTTCCTTTTTCCTTCCATTTCCCCCAGCATCATTATTTTCTTCAAGCTTTCCTGTCTTGTTTGCTACAACATGTTTGCTACTCAACTATTAATGTACTTATCTTGCTTTCTCGATGGGTTTTTCCAAGGCTCCTATTCACATTTTACACTCACAGAGAACTGGATTATTCTAAAAATGGTGAATTTTTCATGAATAAGTGTGGTCATTGTTTCTGGTTCTGACCCTGGAGGTTGTTCTCCTTGACAAAATAATTGGTATGAGCCAAGATTTGGCCGTTTCCCTATCAACACTTGAGGTATCTTGCAGTGTTTGCAATCTGTGTTCAATGTGTGATGAAAGGAAGTGTGTTAGCCACATTTGCCTCTACATTTGGTTCCATCAGACAGTTAATGTCTTTAGAGAATCGATAGAGAACCATAACGACTGACCACACTGGCGGATGGTGATGAATTTGTGATTTTACTCGGACGACCTGGCTTTTGTAATTGTATGATCTGTATTTTAATGTATTTTTGAATTGATGTATTATGATGCTATTTTGTTTATTCTATGTGTGTATGAATTTTCTGCTGTTAGCCGGCCTGAGTACCTCTTCGGTGGTCGAGAAGACCGGTTTATAAAAGCTCTAAATAAATAAAATAAATAAACCAGAATATTCTTCAGACCAAGTGTAAGGAAGTTATTGAAACTAGGTATATGTATTTGAACTGTTTAACTATTTGTTTGGCAACAGTAGCTGAAAACTAGAGATAACTGGTTGTATCCATTGTGGCGTTGCCAAGGAGACCAGGCAGGAGAAAGTGGAAATTGGACGGAGCCTAGCGAGAGAAATCTATCTGTGTTTTGAAAAGAAGCAGTTAGTTAGGGTTTAGAGTTCGGAGTGAGCAGTTGAGAGAGGAGAGAGGGAAGTGGAGAAGCAGTGTGTGTGAACAGCCAGAGGTTTCTTCAATCTAGGAAGGTTGAAGGGGGAAACCTGATTAGTTTCATTAGTCAGAGAAGACTAAGGGAAGCTTGTTTAGATCACTAGTTAGGAAAGAACTAGAGATCTAAGGTTTGATCAAGAAAGGATCAAACAGGAAAGCTATTCACCTCAGGAAACATTATTTAAGAAAGTGCTTCACTACAGTAAAAGTCAAATACAAGTTGTGTTATACAGAAGTGTGATCTGTATTGCAAACCAAGTTACATTTAAAGTTCTACAAGTTCTCTAAGTTGTTCCAAGTAAACCAACAGCCTGCAACCATACTCTTTGCTTAAAATTAACTTGTTAACTTTTGTTTGAAGACAGTGTCATCTCCATATATCTGCGTCTGGGGAACCAGTTCTCATCGGCATTACCTCCCGTTGGTGGCAGTTACCTGAATTACATCTATAATTATCCACATCTTTTATAAATTAGCAAACTTTAGGAGATTTAAACAGTAGTAGGTGGAATACCTTCGCAGATTGGCCAGTGTTGCTAACCACAGTAAAACAAATCCCGTTGCAAATTGGCGAAGTGGAACACACTATTACAAATTGGTGGCATTCGGTGGCATTAGAACAGTCATCCTGTTACAAATTGGTGTCAGCGAAGTGGGTTACTTTCACACAAGGAAATTCTCCTCATCAGAAAATTGTCCTTCATGTAAGGTGTGATGGAGAATCTGAGGCAAGTGCCCTGCATGTTTATGTGAGCACCTGGTTAGCATGTTAGTGTCTAGGAAGAGCACTAATGAAGAGCTTGTACACATACCACTCAAGAATCATAGCCCCATAGAGGAGTATTTTAAGAACTGGGTACATTTAAAACCCAATATACTGTAAGTGTGGCCTTCTTCTTCCAACATCTCTCATACTCTGTGATTATGAGCCCCTGTTTTATTTTTCTTGATAGCCTAAAAATACATTGGGGGAGGACATAAAGCAGGACTTTCTCAGTAGTTAGAAAAGCTTGCCACCCTCCAAAAATTAGATAAAATGTTTTATTCCAGCGGGCATTTGGAAAATGCAGCAGACTGTACTTTTAGGTAGATGGATTCCTATCATTCTGAAGCTCTTGATACAGTTATGGGATTTAGCAGAAGCACACTCTTATTTGCAGTAACGTTCTGTGTAAGCAATCTTCGTTTTATTTCATTTAATAAAATACAGTTCATATAATCTCACCCAGGAGACTTCTAGTGATACATAGTGGCGTTTATGGAAAGATAAAAAATAATTATTTCTTTTTATTACAGCAAACGAGAAATTAAGATGAGGAAACTAGACAGCACTAAAGTAAAGCCCATGAAATCAGAACAACTTCTCCGTATAGAAGACCATGATTTTGCGATGAGACCAGGCTTTGGAGGTAAGTTGGATTTGTTTTGTAACTAGTTGCTTTAATGCAATAAACTACTGTAACCCGGCCTAATTTGGTCAATTATCTAATGAAGCAACATGTTAAACCAGGGGTCCTCAAACTTTTTAAACAGAGGGCCAGGTCACGCTCCCTCAAACTGTTGGAGGGCCAGATTATAATGTGAAAAAAAAATGAATTCCTATGCACACTGCACATATTTTATTTGTAGTGCAAAACAACAACAACTTTAAAACAATACAATAAATAAAGAACAATTTTAACAGATATAAGCTTATTATTATTTCAATGGGAAGCGTGGGCCCGCTTTTGGCTGAAGAGATAGGATTGTTGTCACCTAACAACCTCTGAGGATGCTTGCCATAGACCAGTGGTTCTCAACCTTCCTAATGCCATGACCCCTTAATACAGTTACTCATGTTGTGATGACCCCCAACCATAAAATTATTTTTGTTGCTACTTCAGAACCGTAATTCTGCTCCTGTTATGAATCATAATGTAAATATCTTAAATACAGGATGTATTTCATTCACTGGACCAAATTTGGCACAAAGATATGATATGCCGACATTTGAATGCTGTTGGGGTTGTCATTTAGCAGATGGGATTTATAGTTCACCTACAATCAAAGAGCATTCTGAACTCCACTAATGATGTAATTGAACTAAACTTGGCACACAGAACTCCCAGGAGCCAGGAGAAAGCGGGGGAGGCGGCAGGCGAAGCGGCTTAAGGCCGTGCCGCCTGCCACCTCCCCAGGCCGAGCCTGTCTTCTCCTGGCTTCAGGACAGGGCCTCGCCTCGTCCTGAAGGCAGGAGAAGGTGGGGGAAGGGGCAGGCGAAGCGGCTTTGGGGCCGCGCTGCCGCCCGCTGCTTCCCCGGGCCGAGCCTGCCTTCTCCTGGCTTCAGAACAGGGCCTCGCCTCGTCCTGAAGCCAGGAGAAGGCGGGGGAGGCGGCAGGCAAAGCGGCTTTGGGGCCGCATCGCCTGCTGCTTCTCCACACCCTGTGGGCCGGATAAATGCCCTGGGGGGGGGGGTCTGGCTGTAGTTTGAGGACCCCTGTGTTAAACGATGCCTCCTTGTCCTCTGAAGTGTAATAAATTGGGAGGAATATGAGATAAAAAAACATACTGCATATTTATTTGCTAGGAACAGTGACTATTTTGAAAGAATCGTCTAAAGCAGTGGTTCTCAACCTGTGGGTCCTTAGATTTTTTGGTCTACAACTCCCAGAAATCCCAGCCAGTTTACCAGCTGTTAGGATTTTTGTGAGTTGAAGGGCAAAACATCTGGGGACCCACAGGTTGAGAACCACTAGTATAAAGTATTACTTCTCAGATTCTTCTCATTTTACTGTTATTGATAAATTCCTGTCTGAAGACTCTATATAACAGTCTGAAGACTGTACAGTGTATATGGCAAAGGAAAGGATATTTGTTCAGGCCTTGGTGGTGGGGTTATGTGTTTATAAAATGTTAATTGTTTTGTGTTCTGTTTACACTGTAAGCTGTTAATGCTTGTAAATAAAAATGAAAAATGAAAAAAGACTATAGAGTATTAACAGTTGTACTTAAATTAGACACTAGTTCAGTTGGCAAATTATTAGAAGTGAGAAGATTTATATGAAGATGTTTCAGAGGGTTAGCAATTGGCAAGAGAAAATAAATCTAAAATATATCTCCGTGTTAGCTTTGTTGTTGTTTATTTGTTCAGTCGCTTCCAACTCTTCGTGATCTCATGGACCAGCCCACACCAGAGCTCCCTGTCGGTCGTCACCACCCCCAGCTCCTTCAGAGTCAAGCCAGTCACTTCAAGGATACGATCCATCCATCTTGCCCTTGGTTGGCCCCTCTCCCTTTTTCCTTCCATTTTCCCCAGCAGCCCGTATTAGCTATTGGATCTATTTGGGCATGTTCTTTTGTTTTTCCTTGCAAGTACAGTAGTAAGACAAACACAAATGCTGTGGTTATATTGGTGAAAATAAAAGAGAAAGGGAAGGCAAAAAAAAAAAAAAAAAAGACGTAGCAGCACCTTCAAGACTGATTCCCATGTCTTTTTGTGGTTATAAACCAGGCATGGGCAAACTTCAGCTCTCTGAGTATTTTGGACTTCAATTCCCACAATTCTTTAACAGCCTCCGGTAAGCTGTTAGGAATTGTCGGAACTGAAGTCCAAAACACCTGGAGGGCCGAAGTTTGCCCATGGCTGTTATAAACCCACTTCTTCAGATACAATAACAGAATCAAGCAAGATGTAAATCATGTCCCTTTCAGATCTCAGTTAGAGTAGAATCCGCTTGCCAAGTCATTTTCCTCAGGCTCAAAATGTTTCTGAAGATTCTTTTTGATATGTATGCAATAATGAGGATTTATATATTGATGTATGCAATTTGTCGTGAAGTCATTGTACTTGTTCATACTTCAACTAATGGACTGGAATTTGTAGATAAAATTCAATTACATTGGTATTAACTAGATAATATGTCAGCCAGCTTATATGAACCAACCACCAGCGGATGAGATCAACTGTACTCTCCATCATATAGTTACTAGTAACTGAGATATAGACACATAATGCCTTAATACTGAGGTGGTATGTAGTCACGCTGACTAGTAGCTATTGATCCTCCCTGAGCAACCTTTGCAATAAGACGACAGTTCATCATGTGGCCTACGTGTCTATCATAAGCCCCACTATCTACTTTACTAACAAATCAGTAATTCCTACCACAATCTGTTCATGTAGCCAAAGACCTATCTTTAAGTCAAGAATATATCTACCAAGGGAAGGGATGGATCTGTTCTAATGTATCATTTCCTTTTCCCTTGAAGTGAATGCCTCCATTCCTATATCCTTATTGTTAAAATAGGTGGGCAAAAGAAGTTGATACATTTAATACAAAAATGTTATTTCCTTATATCATTGTCATGAGTGTGACATTTTCTATTGGCCAAGTACAGTAAGGTAAAGGTTTTCCCCTGACATTAAGTCTAGTTGTGTCTGACTCTGGGGGTGGTGCTCTTTTCCATTTCTAAGTCGAAGAGCCAGCGTTGTCTGTAGACACCTCCAAGGTCATGTGGCCATCATGACTTCATGGAGCACAGTTACCTTCCCGCCAGACACCTATTGACCTACTCACATTTCCATGTTCCCAAACATGGTTGGCAGAAGCTGGGACTAACATTGGGAGCTCACGCTGCTCCCCAGATTCGAACCTGCTACCTTTTGGTCAACAAGTTCAGCAGATCAGCGCTTCACCCCACTGCGCCACCGGGGGCTCCTTGGCCAAGTCCAAGTTTATACGGTATTTTAAATTTCCCCTGAATTACACTATGTCAGAACACTGAACACATGAAATGCCTAACAAGGCATTTGTGTAAAAACTATCAATAGTAGGAAGAACTCCAGGTTGAAGGATAGAAAGCAGTGATCTTCCCGATGGGTATTATATTTGGGTGGGGGGGGGGTTGGGGTTGGGTTTCAGGTCAATATTGGGTATCTGACATCAGTGGTAGTACTGAAATCTCTAGTGCACAGCTACAAGGCAACTGATTTCCATAAATATCCTGACATAATGTAATTCAGGGGAAATTTTAAGTTGTGTATAACTTGTACTTGGCCATCATTGCATGTGAAAACAGAGCTGGGAAGTAGACAATATCAATTCAGCAAGTTTCCGAGAAAAGCAATGAAACATTTTTAGGTTCCCAAATGTAAAGGGGCTTCTACCTTTGTTGGCTTTGTCACTCATGGATATATAGGGATGCCTCCGTGCGTACTCAAAATCAATAGGAAAGTCTGAATTACAAAGCAACTTTCAAAACCCAGTGAAGCCTAGCACTCCAATGATTCTTTTTTAAATTCCCAGTCATCACTTTCAGCAATAGCTTTCATGAACAACCAAAGAGATGGCTAAATATAATAGGCTCATTGAAAAGAATTGGACTTACATAAAATGTGCCCAATAAATCCTATTCTTTTTAAAGGGTCTATTCTAGCTAGGATTAAAATTAGTCTAGAGTATGCTTTTATGTAACATCAACATTGGCATTGCATGCTAGATTCTTTAGGTCAGTTCCATGATTGTCTGTTTTTAAATAGACTCATGACAATGGGATGACATTTTCCATTGGCCAAGTACAGTAAGGTAAAAGTTTTACCCTGACATTAAGTCTAGTTGTGTCTGACTCTGGGGGTTGGTGCTCATTTGGGGGGGAGGGGGTTGGTTTGCCCATGCTCACATTTATTTTCTTTTGTATTTCAAAGGATCACCAATACCAGTGGGAATTGATGTTCAAGTAGAGAGTATTGACAGTATTTCAGAAGTTGACATGGTAAGGTTTTAATCATTTCACTTCATAGAATCATAGAGTTGGAAGAGACCTGTGGGCCATCCAGTCCAACCCCCTGCCAAGACGCAAGAAAATCACATTCAAAACACCCCTGACAGATGGCCATCCAGCCTCTTTTTAAAAGCCTCCAAACAAGGTGCCTCCACCATACTCCGAGGCAGAGAGTTCCACTCCTGAACAGCTCTCACAGTCAGGAAATTCTTCCTAATGTTCAGGTAGAATGTCCTTTCCTGTAATTTGAAGCCATTGTTCTGTGTCCTAGTCTCCAGGGCAGCAGAAAACAATTCTGCTCCCTCCTCGCGTAGGATCCCAGCAATCATACTTTTGCCAAAACAGCTGTGGATCTGGGTGGGAGACAGACTGCGTTGGATAATACAGAACACTGGATGAGCAAACGTTGGATCCAAATAAGAACAGACTCTAGTGTTCTTATTTGGATTCATGATATCTTTACTATGCAGGCACAGATCAATGTAAGCATCTATTTTAATCTGTTTTCACTACTTGGATTTGGTACTGAAATGGCTCCATCACCTTGAGAAGCAACATTTGTTGGAGGATGGGTAGACGGGGAGGAGTCTGGCCTATTCTGAGAAAATGTGGACTCTGCGACCACTATCATAGAAAGGTCCAGCTATCCATTCTGTAGCGATCTCTTATTAAGCCAAGAAAACTCTGCTGATAAATCAGAGAACAACATCTTCTCATGAGTTCTTATCTTTGGCTATTTCTACAGACAGTATTATTAAACAGATAAAAAGCACTTCCTCTTAATTTCTTTCATATTTTCTTTCTATAAAGGATTTCACGATGACTTTGTACCTCAGACATTACTGGAAAGATGAGAGACTCTCATTTCCTAGCACCAGAAACAAAAGCATGACCTTTGATGGAAGACTAATTAAAAAGATCTGGGTGCCTGATATATTTTTTGTTCACTCTAAAAGATCTTTCATCCATGACACAACAATGGAGAATGTCATGTTACGTGTTTACCCAGATGGCAATGTACTCTTCAGTTTACGGTAAGTACACTGGCTCTTCTCTCAAGTTGCAAGACCTCAAGCATGCCGATGGTGGGACTACCATGGGCAGGATGGCAGGACTACATCATTGTGATGTAGCTGTGTTCCAAAATTTGGGAAGGATACTTTTAGGACTACAACTCTCAGAATATCCCAGTCAGTGTGACTACTGGAAATTCCATAACCTATTGGAAATAACCTTATTGAAAAGGTAAAAATGATGTCACATCCATTTGGCAAATATGAATCTCCATGAACTTGTGGAGACCACCTTTTGAAGACAACCAGTCAAGAAAAAGAATGACCTTGTTAGAAATTGACTCTTTGAACAAGTGATATTTACAAGCATTAATGTAATGGCACACAGGTAATTCAGATGTTAAACTGAAGAACCATGTATTTAAACTGCCAAGGATAATCACATGCCACTACAAAAATATATTTGGTTAGCAGAGAATGGTTGTTTCTTTGAAGTTGAATTTGCAGTTGCCCAAAATATATTCACTCCCTTGAAATCTCTTAGTTAAAATATCCACTCAGAGATAAAAATCAAAGTCTTCTTTGAAAAATAATATATCTTGTTTACTCATAAACATCTTGTATTAATTCACCATACAGGCACATTTCTTATTCAAGTTCAGTTAGTAGATAAGATGTAGGTTTCTCTGTGTTGAGTACACAGGGTATCATTCTATCAATTGTCCATAGCTTTTGGGTATAGTTGTACTCACTGAAGTCCATAAGAATACAGGTTAGCAAATATATATGTCAACATACAAATAATGAAAGGCTTGGGTGGCTGTTATTTCCAACAGTGACTAGTAACCAATTCTATTTACTGGGAAACTCTGAAACATGTTTAAAGACTCTGTTAAGATCTTCTATGTACTGTGAGCCTTACAATATGTATTGGCATAAAGAATTATTGCTCTGATTCTTATAAATTGTATACTTTTTCCTTTAGATGTGGTGGAAATTCAGTCTCATGCTCATAGTCTCAAAAGTTATGTGTTTGTCAACACCCTATTTCTGTCTATTCTGCCACCCAACCTCATCATCCTTTGAAGTTTTTTAGATGTCACAGTGATCTGAAGTAATGGAGAAGGTGGAAGAAATCTTTTTCAATAGGGACCCAGGGAGACTTGTCTAGTATTTATAATAATGCCATTTCAACAGCAGGCAAAAGTCCAAAATTGAAATGAAAAAAAAATGCCATGGTTTTTAAGTTTTTGAAGTAGCTGTACATTAACATGTTTGTTGTGCTCTATTTATTGTCGTTGTTCTTGTAAGCCAGCTTGGGTCCCATACTAGGAGAAAGTCAGGATATACATCAGATGAATACATTTGCCATGTCCCTCCTATATTAAATATGTGAGTCGGTCTTTCTAATCCCTCTACTATTAAAAAGAAATTCACCTTGGGAGGGTGAGGTAGATAATGTACTTGGCACCTTCCAAATGTTTTGGAGTATAATTCTTCAGCTGAGCAAAACTATAATGGATGATAAGTGCCACCCACATCCAAAGCACAATAGATGAGACTTTCACAAATACACTTCCTCCAAGTTAATCTTCATGGCAGCAGAGGACAGGGCATTCAATATAGGTCAGAAGAAGACACTGCAGTTTGACCGTGAGAGAAGGCTGGCTTTTCAAGTCACATCCCCTCTGTGAGATGATGCATTTCACAGTTGTAGCCTGTCTTTTGCTTTTAAAAGGTTTTGCAAGGGCAGAGTGTGTTGGACTCCCTGGTGAATTTTCACAAATCCTCACTTGATAAGTTTAACATCTGGATTAAATCATGTCAGAATAAAATACAAGAGGCTAAGGTTGGCAGCACCTAGTCTTCCAAAGGGAGGGCATTCCATAAACAGAGTGATATAGCAGAGGAGGTTTTACTTCATGTCCATCTGTGGTACATGGTTGGCATTAAAGGGACATAGAATAGGCACTCATCTGCAATCTGTTTCAATATGGGTATATATAGGGAGAGGTGCACCTTCAACTATTGTGGTCCCAAAGCATTTTGGCTTTTGACTGTCATCACCAGTACTTGGGATTCAGATAGAAAACTGATTATTAAGAAAATTAATAAATGTCATCCTTTATTTTCTGCTCTGTTGCCTTTCTGACAGAATAACCGTCTCTGCCATGTGCTTCATGGACTTCAGTAGGTTCCCACTTGACACCCAGAACTGCTCTTTAGAGCTGGAAAGCTGTAAGTCTGCCTCTCCTATGGTATTATATAACATCCACCTGTGTGTTTTTAGTGAGAATGATACAGTATATTAATCTGACTTTTAAAGTGGAGTGGGATCATGTGGCCCTCCCAATTTTGTTGGACCGCAATTCCCAGCAGTCCTAAGCAGAACAGCTACATAATGGCAATGAATGTTGGGAGTTCTGGATGCTCCTAAAGGATGTGAACCAGCACCTGTCCTTTTAAGAGCATTGAGATCTTCAAATGCTGTAATGAATTGGACTCCTTAAAGATCTTTTTTTTTCTAAAAGGCGTCAGAATAACAGACCTTGAAAGAAAGAAAAATGTATTGAAAAGCTTTGTTAATATATTTAGTTTAAGTCAGTATAATTTTGCATCCCATCTGTGATAACAAAAACAATTGATGTTATTGAGTTTGCATGAAGACTTAGTTCAGTGGTTCTCAACCTGTGGGTCCCCAGGTGTTTTGGCCTACAACTCCCAAAATTGTTAAGCACATATCTGGAATTGAGACCTACACCCATCTATCCTCTCTGGAACAACTGCTTCTGAATGTGTAGTGAATGGAAGATGGCTCATCTTTTTAGTATCCCTCCTCAGTGGGAGTAGGTGGACAGCTGTGCCTGTAATCTTGGTAGCTGTAGCTGGGAGAGGGATACAGATTAGCGAGTCTGAAACACAGCTAAAACATTGGAACAGTGGCTCCAAAACTTGGCCTCTTCAGGTGTTTTGGACTTCAGTTCACAGAATACAGAATTCCTGACTATTGAACAAGCTGTCTGGGGCTTCTGGGAGCTGAAGTCCAAAACAATTGGAGGACCAAAGTTACGAAACTGATGCTGGTCAACCTGTATGAGAAATGCTGGGAGCTATAGTTAAATATCTGGAGGACCACATGATTCTATGTGTATAGTGAAAGCATTAGAAGACATTGTAGCTCAATAATTTCTACAACACAAATATGAGACAATTTATGCCATCCAAACCCCACCATTCAGGGCATGTCTATTCTGATCATTTCGAATATAATACCATTTCATGTTAAATCACAACCAAGGTCTTGCACTATTAGTCCACCAAGTTCTCATGGCAAATCCAGTCATTTTAAAGAGCTAACTGTATCCACATTCACAATTAGGTATTTTTAAATATTATTTAACCAATGTGTATACTAGGGTTGCGTACATCTACAAAGTCTTTCTTCAGAAACATTCTCACTTTCCTACCACATCACCTGATTTATGCCTGCATCTGTAAAAGTTTTTAAACAATAGATTTCTTGTGTCATTGAAGGCTTTCCTGGCTGGAATCAATGGATTGCTGTAAGTTTTCTGGGCTGTATGGCCGTGTTCCAGAAGCATTATCTCCTGACGTTTTACCCACATCTATGGCAGGCATCCTTAGAAGATGCTTGTCATAGATGTGGGCAAAACATCAGGAGATAATGCTTCTGGAACATGGCCATGCATCCCAGAAAACTCACAGTCAGCAACCCAATGGTTTTCTTCTCTGGTGCCCGTATGTTTTAAATTGTGTGAATTGCTTGAATGCATTCTCTCCCTTTTGACAAATTGTGTGTTTTAATAGTTATTTCAGTGCGTTTAAAACGTGTTTTCCTAGGAGTGCTGTTCAAAAGCATGTATTTCTTTCCGTCATGTCCACAGCTGTCCATCAACATGCGGATAATAGCTTGCAAACTGCATCCACCTTGTGGGCAAATCGGAAAATACAGGATGAGTAACGTGTTAAAATGGATGGGGGAATCAAGATTCCCTGCATGTCCGGAGTGTATACATTTGCCAGAAATATGACAGATCATCTGTTAATGTTCATTTTTTAAAAATAAATTGTCCCACAGATGCCTACAATGAAGATGATTTGATGTTGTATTGGAAGCATGGCAATGAATCACTTGCCACAGATGAACATATCTCCCTTTCCCAGTTCTTCATTGAAGAATTCAGCGCATCAAGTGGTTTAGCATTCTACAGCAGCACAGGTAGGGCATCCAATTGGCATGTGATAGAAGCATTATTGTGCCTTCC